AAGGCGCCTGAGGCACAGGGCACTTCCAGGCGGCATGCACAAGGAAGGGTTTTTTAATTCAACAAAAACCAAAAACCACCAACCAAACTCAGGAGGGGTTTTTTAACGTTTGGAAATACCGGAATGCTAACTCTTCCCGGCTTCTCTCAGAGAATTTTTTTGGGGCTTTCCAGATACCACTTCGGAGCTTTGGGGAGTTTACTGTACTAGATGATCTTTCAAGGTCCCTTCCAACCCCTAACATTCCATGTGGTTCTGTGCTACTGAAAGGATGGGAGTATTTACCAGTAATACACACTCCCTTTCTTTTGAAATGCTGGGTACATGGAGCGCTGTCAATTCCGCTTCTTCTGAAGTTACCTAACTTTAAGAAAATTCAGTTTTCAGTCTGAAACTGGAACTTTTTATGACTCTTTGTCTAGTGGGTTCCAGAGGACTCATTTAGGAACTCCTGAACAAGTTTCATCGCAATCCTGCAGTGGGTCAGGGGGCTTCATGAGTGTGCAACATCTCTTTCAGAATTGTCTGCTTTGATTCTGTAATTTCCTCACTTAAAAAAAAATCACAATCTGTGCAGTACAGAGAAAGTAAAAATAAAAGCAGTGGCACTGCAGTTTTCACCTGTTATCTCCGTTTGTTGCTAAACAAACCAAGTTTTGAATGATGGAGTCTGTTGAACTGATTTTGAGAGGCGTCCCTGCCCATGACAGGGAGGTTGGATTAGATGATCTCTCAGGTCCCTTCCAGCCTAGGCCATTCTATGACTCTATGATTTGAACTTAAAAGACTGTTATTGGTGTCTTTTGAAGCATGTTTTTGAAGCAGCATATGCAAGTTGCTTGTATCACTGTTATTTGGAAACAAGCATTGCAGTTCTTGTTTTTGCACTAGAATCAAGAGGTGCAACGGTATATTGAGAAAGTGTTGTCCTGTAATTAAGTTCTGGCAATTGTTTTGGTAAACAACTTCTAAAATACTAATTCCCAGATCTGCAGACTGATAACTTGAATGGCGCAGATACAGTTAGTGTAGAGATTTGCAAAAGTAAAGCTTTGTGGAAGTCAAGTGTCCACTTGAAGCATGAAGATTTTAATAGGTTCACCTTGCATATTTTTTATATTTACTGCATGCAGGATCCATTTAGCTCTTCAGGCTAGATTTTTGCGACATTAAGAGACCTCAGTTGATCACTATATGGAAAGGTTAGACAGTTCGGTTGTCAGGCTGTTAAGTTTCCCATTAAAATTTGTCAGGCAGCTTGCCACAAGAGGAACTTTAAAATTCAGCTTGTGCATGTAAAAATTTTCCAGCCCTGTTTCTACAACAGGAGTGTGCATCAGACTGTATTTGCAAGTAATTTATCAGAAGGAAAAAAATTGATGTTAGTAGTCAGGAAAAGTGGTATGCATTCCGCTTTGAAGCAGCAGTGTTTGGCAGGAGCCAGCTGGGATGGGCTGTGAGGGATCCTGTTCCTCTGAATGGCAGATGAGTGCACGGTATGACTCTGGTTCTTGCATCACGAAGGCTGGATGACTCAGTAAAGATTATGGTCAAGGTTCATTGTCTTAGTTAAGATTTCTCTCTGAGGCTGTTGTTCATTAGTGACGCCCAAGTCCAGAGATGCCAATCTCTTGAGTGCTGGATCAGCAATACCCAATGCTCCTGTCCTTGCTGAAGAGGAAGGAAAGTAGCAGCTGGGGTCAGGGCATCCCTTCTGCCTTTCCTGGCTGCAAGCCTATTACTCTGTGTGAGGTTGGTGTTCTTACTGAGTGGCAGAGATGGATAGGAACAGCTCATACTAGTTTAGCAATCTGCTGTCATCTTTGCTAATCCTCCAACCTAAATTTCTAGCTCTGTTTTTTACCAAGACCTGCCATTTGAGCATCACCCTAGCCAGACCAGCTGTACAGTTCAATTATGAGCTTCCTAATCTCAATATCCTGTACCCAGTCTCCCTCATTCCCAGCATCAGGCCAGTCACCTGCAGCCTCCAGTTACCCTGTCAGTCCCTTCAGGCTTGTCTGATATTTTCGTCTTTTCTCTCTGCCTGTCCTCACAGAACTCCTATTTTCCTGGATGTCGTGCAAAGACAGCAGACCAGGGGTCAGACAAAGCAAGATGGTCCATTGAAGGGAGAAACAAAGGGAGGGGCAGTGAGATTTGCTCCAGGAGACTGCAAAAATCTTGCAGAGAAGGGTGTGTTGCCACCTTATCTCATGTTATGGGCACAAGTATGGGTTTGTACATTTGGTCAGCCCAGAAATGTATATAAACACACTTTTGATGAATAGATGTGTTCATAGGCATTTGTAGAATTTGTTATATGAAAAATGGACAATTAGGATGAGATGCAGCTGCAGATCAAGATACTTGAATGTCTATAACTGTATAGAGCTTGCCTACGTAAGTAGAAGGTGGTTATGGTCCAGTTATGGTCAATGGAGCAACCTCATCAATGCTTGCCATGAAGCCTGGAGATGAATTCAGCCCAAGTAGACACCAAGCAGCTGGTCAGCTCAATAGCTGTTAAGCTCTTAACCATGCTGGCTAAATCATCCTTGGGAAGTTTAGACACCCAAATAAGTTCTCAATCTGGAGCTGAGTCTTTCTGTCAAGGTGCAAGTCATTTGGTTGTGCAAAGATCCCTTTTAAACTATTTTAGGAGATGACAGAATGTATTTGTTAATACAGCATATGCTCTATGGCATTTAATATGCACTTAACTGCTCTTGTTGTAATCCAGCCTTTTTTAGATCTATCTTTTGGGTACTGCCACTGCTCCTTGTTCTGCCTCCAGTGAATTCATCTGCTTGTGCAATGGGAAATAAAACAACTGAAATCCGCATGAAGTATGAGAATATACTAAGCCATGACATCGATGAGCTGGTAGGTAATAGCTCTTGGGCTTTCCTAATGTGTTGATTATTTTTAGATGATACCAAGTAATAATAATAAAAAGCTCTAATGTTAACATGAAATAAAAGACTTAAAATCGCACAGTATCCTGGAATGGTGGCTTTATTTGAAGGGATGTGACAGTTCAGCCCCTTTAAAATCTCTGAAAGCTGTGGATGCTGTCTGTTTGCATGCACAAATGTTGTGATAATGGTATTTGTGCCTGTGCAACATGTAGTTAGACACAGGTACCATTTGGCCCTAAATGGTATAATATATTACATTAAAAAGTACTATTTTCTGCAGTAATTTCATTACTACTTCTGTTTATATCTTCTTATCAAGATAAAAAAAGCATTACACAACCTGTAATTTGTTCTCGTAATTGTAGGCTTCTTGACTGCAGTTTTATGTTGTCCATTGAATACAAATGCACAGAGGCACAAAATTCATACAAAGTTCCTTTGTATTTTACTCATTAATATATCTTGTTCAGCCAACAAAGAATCTGTATTTCTAGGTGGCAGCACTTTCATAAACTGAACTTTTGTAAATCTCCTCCATTATGGCCTTATGAGACAGAATTATTACAGCTTTGCCAAACAGTATCATAACAATTTACCGTTCCATGCCCAAAAACTAACCTTCCAACTTTCATCATGAATTATTAACAATTAAATTAATCTGTCAAGAACACTTTCATGGGAGAAAGCACTTTCCATAGTTGGAGTAGCAAAGGCATTTCTATGGAAATGGATTTTTTCTGACAGTTTGCCATGAGTTGAGAACTCACCATGCTGTTGCAGTCTTAAATCAAGACCTACTTGCATGAAATACAAGTGATACGCAGTGCTCTTCCATAGGTGAATTTGGGAACCATTGTATTTCTTCACATGTAGCATCCACCACCATTTTTCAGAGCATTATCCCAATGGTTTCAAGCCTTTCTCTACCACGACACATCAGCCCTCATCTGGAAACAAAATACCTTTAGGATTAGGGACTAATCATTTAACCTTCAAAAGTATTCTGATCATGTTGCGTTTTGTTGAGATTATGAGAGAGAAAGGTACTTTTCCCTAGATAAATGACCTTATCCTAAACGAGGCATCAAAGCTGTGGAAGATATTCATGGCCATATTAGAACTGATAAGTAGCCCCTTCAGTTTGTCGTTGTCCTTCTGACAAAGACAAGTGTTTGTGAAAGCTAATGTCCTCAGCTCTGAAGCTTTTACTTCCTAGAATAGGCATGCACAAAGCAACTATTGCGCAAATTCCTTTGTTTTCCTGTCTTTATTTTTTTCCCATTTAAAAAAGATTTGTCTTCTATGTAAAACCAGTGTATAGTCTTGTCACTATAACTTAATGGCAAATGTTATGGACAGTGCTGTTTGACAGATTGCAATTGCCCTCTAGGCTCTTTTTTGCAATTGCAGAGCCAAAGTCAAAAACTTTCAGTCTCTGAGCCTGATGTTTGGAAGCAGTCATGGAGAGGTGACTAGCGAGTTATGTACCAGCCTTCCATATGTTAATTTGATTTTCACCAATACCTTTTCTGAGAGCACGGTTTCCCTTAGGTTGCTTTAGTCACAGCCAATAAACTGCCTTCAGAAATGGTTATTGGATGTTATGCTAAAGATGATCTGAGGAAGTTGGTGAGAATGGGTAAACCCCGTAGAAGTTAGCAAATGAAACCACAGATACATAGGCTTTACAGCGATGATTTATTTGTTTGTTTATAAATGTTGGTGCTGTGTTACTGCAGCAAAATTTCATTCAGTTGTGATACAAACAGATATGTCCATTGTCTTCCAAACGTCCGTGCTGTTGTTGTTGGCTTTTTGTTGTTGTTGTTGTTTTGTGTCAGTGAATATTTGACTCCCTAAACTCTTGGTTTTGAAAATACTTCCTGGATGAAATTCTATTCATCTTGGGTGAACTTATGAAATACAGGCAGAGTACAAAAAAATCTGCAGAACTGCAAGTTGTCTAATGTGTTCATATGCATGCCTAATGAGGAGATCTAACATTATTATGAGCTGCCTTTTTAAAAGCACTCCTGGTTATATTATCTGGATACAGGCTGAAGAAGAAAGTGAAGGAATTTTGAGTTTAGTTGTCACAAGCATGAAAGGAGAAGAAAAAAAACCTCAAAACCCAGAGGATAAACCACTGATAAAAGATTATGGTCGTGCAAAGGGAGCAAGTGATATTGCTTAGGACATCTTCTGTTAGCACATAAAGTGAGTGCTACAATCTGTTTAGATGCCTGGGGCATGTATTTATTGAGTGCCACATCCCACCCAGGAGAGGGGTACTAAGATTCGTAATTCCCCAGCAGAGTGGACAATGGTGAGACAAGTTGCAAAGTACATACACAAATATTCATTAATTTCTGACAATGTATAGATCAGACTCACAAAAATAGGTTAAGTTACAAGACCCATTAGGGCAGGCAATATAATATGACAATGATAACCAGGAAAAGACTAGGTATACAAGAACTTACAGCAAGCTGCATGTTATGTAATGCTAACAAGGAAAAAGGACTTTATAACAGGCAGTATTACACTTAATGATTACAAGAAAGAAACCAAGTATAAACTAAGCAAGCAGCATGATAGGCTTCACATTACTTAGTGAGAAAGGGGAAGGAGGGGGGGAGAGAGGGAGAGGAGAAGGGGGAGGGAGAGGGAGAGGGGAGGACAGAGAGAGAAGGAGGAAAAGAGACAGCGATCACCAGTTCGGGTTCCTGCGTTTGTCCCACCGATGAGGATTCAAGGATGCCATCATCTTTACTTCTTCTTCTCCTGCACTTCTTGTTGTCTTCATCTCTGTCTACATGTTTCTCTGTCTCCTGCCTAACCTTTTGCTTTATCTCACTTCAGTTTATGCACTTTTCTACATGCGGATGTGCAATATGCCAGGGAGAGGATCAAGGCACTTCACTGTTTACGGTAATCCTCATTAGCATGTGCCATTGCCCTGTCTCCTTGGGAGCTCTGCCACAAGGCCATCCTGCCTTCACAGACTCCTTCCCTCATACATATTCAGGCCGAGGCTGTTTGAGGCATCTGTTTCCCACTTAGCCTTATCAGATCCCTCTACCACATTCCATTTGGCACTTACCAGTTTGCAACCCAGAACCAGAAACTGGTCTTGTTTTCGTCCAAGAAATGTTTAAGGCAAACATTCGCGCGTCTGTCCGCTATAATTGAGACAAACACGGACACTGTATTTGATGTCTGTGTAAGGTTTAAATATTCCTGTATGTTTTGAAATGCCGAAGAACCAAGAAATTCAATACAACATGAAAGTTTAAAATGGCTAATTTTGTGCCCAGTTCTGGCACCCCAGTACAAGAGAAATATAGAGCTACTGGGAGAGAGTCCAGCAAAGGGCCACATTGATGACTGAAGCACTGGAGCATCTGTCCGATAAAGAAAGGCTGAGAGAGCTGGGACTGTTCAACCTGGAGTAGAGAAGGCTTGACGGGATCTCATCAATGTGTAAAAATACCTGAAGGGAGGGTGCAGAGAGAACAGAGCCAGGCTCTTTCTAGTGGTGCCCAGTGACAGAACCGGAGGCAGTGGGCACAAGGAGGTTCCTTCTGAACATCAGGAAACAGTTTTTCCCTGTGAGGGTGACAGAGCACTGGCACATGTTTCCCAGGGAGGTTGTGGGGGTCTTCATCCTTGGAGACACCCAAAAGCCACCTGGACATGGTCCTGGCATCCCACTCTGGGTGTCCCTGCTTGAGCAGGGTGGGTGGACAAGATGACCCCTAGAGGTCCCTTCCCATTGCAACCATTCTGTGATTCTGTGTGATTCCATGAATACCTCTTGAAATTTCAGCTGTTTCTTTGTTTGCTTGCCAAGGAACAGCTCAGAATTGTATGTACACTGACCTTGCTACATCTGGGGAGATGCTACAGAACAATTTAGTGTTGACATTGCTAGCTGTTAGTGAGAAACTTGGTGCACAACTAAAAAGTACTTCCATGTTTAAACACATATGATTTTTACAGGTAAATATGTCTGCAGAGTATCGTGACAGGTGCTGCAGGAATAAAAGACATGAAAACAGCAAAGTGTTTTTCTGCAATGATACTCAGGTAAAATTAGTATAAACTCAGATAGGTTCTTTGTATCATCCAGTCTCTGAATTACATAATGTGATAGAGAGTAATATTACCTTTTAATAGTCAAATCATATTACTCAGTATTGTTCCTTTTTTGGTATCACACAATTAGCCAAGTAAATTGGTATTTTCAAAATTAAAATATTAAGCAATTCCATTTACAAGAAATGTGCGGGGGGTTAATTTTATAACAATGATTTTATATTTTTTATCCAAAATCATACAGAAAACTTAATTTATTTTGCCAATGGAAGTAAACAAAAATTTCTACGGAAAACAATGTTAACTAAGCTTTTCACTTCAGATTTGGGAGCTTTAGAAGTAATAGTTTGGACAGGTCTCAAATGATAGAAAGCACAATTGTCAGCTTCGGCTGCAAAATCTTATCATGACTTGATAAAGTATGGACTCAGGGTTCATTCGCTGTTTTCCTAAGTGCATAAGCTGATTAATTACAGCTATGATTTCTCCCTAATGTCCTTATGCTATTATTATTACTACTACAATTTGATACTTTAGAATTTTGAAGAGATGGCAGGTAGGTCAGGTTAGTCACGTGTCTTACTGGAAACGATTGGCACTACGAAAGCAAGAGAAACTAATGGTATCTGATGGAGACTTTTTTTAAGGACAAACCAACCTTATAGAGAACAGTGCACAGACTTTTTAGGACATACTTTTCCTGCTCTCTTTTTCCTTACAGGAAATAGAATCACTACAGAGTATGGCATGCAACATGCTCAGATTCTTTCATAAGCAAAAAATCAGCAAGGATTTTAGGTGGAAAGCAGCATTCGTCTCGTGTGGGACATTGCAGGTTCTACAGTGCAAATGCGAAAGACACAAAAAAGAAAAGGTGAGTGGTAGTGATGATCTACAGTTTATTCAAAGTATGTCACTTATTCCTTAGAGCTTTTTAACACAGACTATAATCTCCACCTCTTGAAGGTACAACTATCATGCACATATTATACACACAACAAATTTTGCTTCGTATAGCACATGACTTGTAATAGACATTTTGCCCAGTGCAAAGCCTAAGTAAGACAATGATCTGGAAGTCTATAGCGAAGATACAAGCTCCACTTCACTCCTGAAATACCTGGGTTAATTGTCCAGTAAAAGACAAAGAGCACACTTGTGCAAAGAAGGCCTTTATCTTCTCTAGCATATAAAATCATAGTTGTTACTTCTTACTCTGGTTCTACCCTAAGATTAACATTTAATTTGGTTTGTTTCAACAATTAGTAGGAGTTACTCTTCTTTCCATAATCCCTTTAAATTTTATTTTAAGCCCAATGTCTCATACTCAGCAAGAACAGTTGGATACGAAAATACTTGGCTTTTCAGTCAATGGCAGAAACTCCTCTTTGATGTGTCACTCAAATCTAGCCCAATGATCTACAGACTACCGTAACAAAGGAAGAGCATTCTTTTAAGTGTAGCTCATGTTTACCTACTGAAAACACAATATTGACCAATGTCAAAATGCCTTCCCACAGGCACCAAATGATCTAATTCTTTATGTTTGGCTTAAATAGTTGAAGGCTGTGTTTAACTCATTCTTTTTCTCCTTGAAATGGAGAAACCATACTCTTGCAGTCTAGGACCAGATGTTGAAAGTAACGGTGTCTGTATTTTGCTTAGCCACCTGTGCTGAATGCAACATTTGCCTTACCATAAAAGATACCCCAATTAATTCATAGAAGCCAAAGTGTCACCCTGGAAACTCCTCATTTTGTGGATGCCTCGTTTTAGTTAAAGATGAATTAAAGTTATTACCAAAAAAATCGTGAACAGTCATTGAATATGGACAAGAATCAGTCTTCTTGTCTCTGGGTGAGTTCCTGAACATGAGGCCACACCTCCAACCCCTGGGAACAGGTGTCTCTTGTTCCACCAGTCTCAAGGTACCACACAGGGAGTCCTATCTTTTGAAGTGTGGCTCACAACTTAAGTGGCTTTATTTTTCCAGTCCTTCAAATAGTGGAGGATAAATTTTAAACTACTGACAGAGGACGTGGATGTTTCCAGTTGCACATGATGGTTTCAGCTGCCCATATTTGCTGTGTCTTAAAGTTGCGTTCCTGCAGTCCAGCAGCAGCAGGGCTGTGCTCAGAGTGAGAACATCAGAGTGACTCACGCTCTGCACCTCCATGGCACATTTTGTGAGTTGCCCAGTTTTCTGGGTTCATTACTGTGTAAGGTACCTCTGTTTATTGAAGTGTAATGGAATTAGTTTGTTTTAAAAGATGTCTCTATGAAAAGAATAAGTGCTTCTCAGTTAACGATATAAACTATTCTTTTCCAGGTTTGCATGCAGCTAAATACACATAATAAAGAAGATACAGAAACAGTGAACAGTCCAAACGGTGAACAGTCCAAAAAAAAATGTAACCAAGAATTCTGTGAACTGAAAGAAAATATATCTACCCTTCGATCCTGCTGGAATAAATTTGAAAAAACAATTTCCAGGTGACTGCAGGTGAATCCTGCTTTTTCTTTTGAAGTGGCATTACTTGGTATCTTTGCATTTTATATGCATCCTTCAAGTAACTCTGCTCGCTTATATGAACATTTTATGCCAGAATTCTTATGGAGAGCTACTGTACATTGTTCCTGGAGACGGAATAAACAGAAACGGCTAAACCAAGCTGCTGAAGTCCATGAAGTGGAAATAAAAGACCAGTGTTGAAACAAAGAACTCTGCAGAAGGCTGTGTCCCACCTTCGTGCTCTGGAAACTACTTTGAATTTTCTGATCCTTTGAATAACTTTATAATACTGTCATATGAAAGCAATCGATTTACACATCTATTGCAATTTATAAAACCATCTTAGAAGCTGCAAGTGAAGAAAACAGGCCGGAAAAGTAGCTGGTTTCTGTCGATATAAAGCACATAGTGAACCAAAAGGAACAGTTTACCTTGGGTCTGTTCCACTGATGCAACGATATTTTCAGCGTGGGTATCTAATGCGTCTGCAAACTGATTTAGGTTTGGAAAAACAGGGAAAAGGTTAACCTTCTGAAAAACTTAGGACAAGTACTGATTTTTGAGAGATGTAGCACACTTCTACTGGCTGAAGTAGAGGCAAGACAGTGAGTCCTGTGGAAGGCAAAAAGGAGATGCCTGAATGTAAGTTTGTTGAGCTGACTGGAAAGAGCGCTAGCCTTATGTATGTGGTTATCCTAGAGTTAGCTACAGGAGGAGCTAGAAGTTCTTACCTTCAGATGGTGATTTCTTATATGCAATTATTTTATATAAAGTGTTCAACATGTTAGACAAATATGACTTAAAATGTGTGAATATTTTCAGAGAATAATATATTGGCATTTAACTAATAAAGTGTTCATATTTAATTTTGGATAAATAGAAGTATTTTTATAGTTGTTTGTACCTCTTTTGTGGTTTCTTACTTTGATATTATAACTCCTTTGGTAATAAAATATTTGTCTTCTACGGAATTGGGCTGTTGACTTTTTAGGTGTCATTGCTCTTTTTAAGTTTTTTTTCCCCCCACAGGTTGTCATTAAAAGCACAGCCAGTAATGTAGCCCCCAGCTGCTTTGGACTTTCCATTTATGAAATAACTATTTCTTAGTTGCTTAGAGCCTGACCAATTTAGTTAAATATATCCATAACAAGTATCTACCTTGCACTAAATACTTTGGGAAATCATTAGTTAAGTCAGCTTGTTGTTTCCCAGTTCAGAGTAAGGTAATATATATTGTTTTATCTGTGCTGGAAGAAATTTTCTGTGGAACTACTTTGAAAAATATTTGGTATTCAGAACAAAGACCTGAAGTAAAGGCAGGATGATTCAAAGAACTGTATCTCTCTCTCTCCTTTGGCTGGGCTAAGATTGCTGTACTGAATCCATGAACCTCAACGCACCCTGCTGCTAATGGTGAAGGAAGAGGTTAAAAGCAAAGCAAGCACACTTGTTACGCTTTCCTGGAACAGCCCCCCTCTAGCCCCCCATCTTTTATGGTGAAAAGACGCCCTGAGGTAGGAGTAGTATCTTTGTAAAATTGTGATTGAGACTTCCACATATTCTTTTTAGCTCTTGATGTAAGAGTTTTCAATTTTCACTCCCAAACATTCAAAAACTCACCCAAACCCAACTCCTAAGTCTGTTCTGTAATAGGGGAGAGAATTAGATTTCCCTGTATCATACTGCAGCTAAGGGAAGTAACCACTATCGCAAGGACTTTTCTGGAAATAGAGTCTACTGAAAGTCTGATGATTACATTTGTTTCTGCGACTGTAGAACAGTTTTGTTTATTTGTTTGTTTTTGGTTTAAATTCAGGAATTATAAGCCACGATTTTTTTCCTAATAACCACTTGGCAAGAAAAAGACAGTGAGAAACAAAATCACACAGATGCAGTATTAGTTACTACAAAACTGGAAGTTCAGTCAGCGTAAATAACTTAACCAGCAGCCCTCCGCTTAAAACTTGAGGCAAATTGAGAAGTTTCAGGCCTATCCTGGGGAAAAGACAAAGGTTAGATCTAGAGGAGAGGTTTAAATTGAGTGACTACGAAATTGTGGAGTTCTGATTCTTTCTCTTAATATCCTGCCTGCCTGATTCTTCTTGTCAAATTTCCTGTCACTGCTTACATGCAACGACCAACTGCTAAATGCAGTGACTTGTGCGCTTTGGTTTGTTCCTTCCATTTGAGAACCTTTCATGGTCTTTCCTGAAATTACAACTGTGACAATATTAAACTGCTCAGCAG